TGGCCTCTGGGTGGGAAGCGCCCTTCTCCCCGCCTGGAGCAGCTGCCCGGCCAGTGGCCTGGGGCTGACGTAGGTTCCCAGCAAACGGCCGTTCTCCCCCCTAACTGGCACTGACCAAAAGGGCTGTGTGCCCCAAACTCGCAAATGTTCCTCTGTGGACAGTCCTGTTTATCGCCCTCACCCCCGTCCTGCCGACCCGTTGTGTGGAAATGTTACGCTTAACCGGCCAGGTGTTGGCCAGGTGTTGACGGAGCACCTGCTGTGTGCCCGGAAGGCACCCTGTGGGCAAGGGGATGAAGATGAATGACACATGGCCCTGCACTTGAGCCTGGACCTAACACGGCTGCAGAAGAGTGCAGTCCCCACACCCGAGTGGCGAGGTCCAGGTCAGTGCTTCTTGAGCAACGCGGGTGGACACTGCTAATGGAGATGCACTGCGGGCCAGGGAAGGGAGGCCACCTTCTCTGCTAGGTGGGGACGCAGGTGGGCGGGCTTCAAGCGTGGGACACCCCAGAGCCCAGGAGGCCACAGGTCAAGTAAACTTCGAGCGGCTCACCAGGACGCCTCAAGTCTTGCCCAAGTGCAGAAGACACGAGATGAGAAGTCTTGGCGAGAATGCCAGACTGTTGCTGCGCCATGGGCTGAGGGCGTCAGCCTCTCTCGCCAACCCTTTGGAGCAGAAGAGCCACAGCCGGTAGATCGTGTGGCCTGTCGCACAATAGTCCTTTCTCTTGCTTTGTTTCTTTTTCTTTTCAGACTCTTACAGAGTCAGCGTTCATCTCTTCGAGCCAGCTGGGGTCTCCGTCCCCACCCCTCGCTGGTCCGGGCCACACGCCTGGTGAACAGGAAGTGGCCAGATACAGTCTTCTGTCTCTTGCCTCCTTGTAGCCGGGTCAGTGCTGGGTCTCCCTGTAACGGAATACTCCCGTGAGCACCCGGCCTTCCAGGCTTCCCATATGTAGTAGGGGCAGGTCAGATCTGGTTTCCTCTTTGTGGTTTCTGGGCCTTTGTAGTCAGCTCTGACCGCTCATGCTTTTGCGTGGTGCTGCTTGCACGCCACGCTGATGCTTCTTCAAGGCAGGCTGGGAAAGTCCGTTCTAAATGACAACGCCCTCTGCGGCCTGCGAGCCTTGCAAGGGCTTGCGTGTGTGCCGTGCACCTTGCTGCAGGTGGAGGGTGTCAGGTTGCTACCAGCCCAGAAAGTTGCTTTTGTTGCGGATACTTGTTGGGGGAAATGGGTTCGTCTGTGATCTTCGCTGGCCTCCCCTTAGCAAAATGCTGCAGCCCACGGTATTGACGGCAGCCCTGACTGCCCCACCGCGGGTCCTTGCGCGAGTCACTCACCGCTCGGCGGCTGTTTCCTTCTCTGTGACAAGGCGGCCCCAGAGTGCAGAGCGCTGTGTGCTGTGGCTCAGTCCGCCCGGCAGGCAGCCGCGGTCAGGCAAGGCCAGTTACCAGGCACCGCGCCTTGGGCCTACCAGGAAGACTCACAGGCTGCTGAGCGGTGTTTCACCTCGAAAGGGTGGTCTGTACACCCCCAGGCCCGCTGGCCGCAGGCAGGGGCCCCGCACCAGGCTGCGGCACTCCGCTGATGGTGGGAGCGGGGGTCTGCGTGTTACGTTCCTTGCTCTAGTTTCCACATTGACTGTACATCGTTTCCCTTGGGGGTTCTCTGTCCTCCCCGTCCTTGCAGATCAGGGATGTCTCTGCATAGCAGATGGGTGGCGACCGTGCTTTTCCCACCCTATGCCCGCTTGGGCGTTCCTGCAGGCTTCACGGCTGCTTTGCTGGTCTTCACCGCCTGCGGGAGCGGTGGAGCGAGTGCAACCCAGTTCCGCGTCAGTGTGCGCAGGCTGTGGGGCGGAGCCCTCGGGAAGACGGCTTGCGCCACGCCCTGCGCCCTCCTCGCTCCGGCCGCACCTGCTCACTGGGCACGCGGGAGAGGCCCTGCTCGTTAACCACGACTGACCCAGCCGGCCAGCCAAGGCGGAAGACGAGGCTGCGGCACATGGGCTGGGCCCCCCCCGCCCCCCGCGGCCTTCCCCATCCCGTTACCGTGTCCGACCGCCGTTCTCAGACTCGTTCAGAGAGTGGCGCCCGGGCGGAGCTCGGCCGGAACGCCGTGAAGTCGGGATGGCCGAGAGTGGCCACGCATGATGGAGCGGACACCGGCCCGAGCATCTGAACTCGACTCGTAAGGGGCCAGCGCCCAGAGGCCTGCGAAACAGCGTGGGGGACACCTGAAAAGTGGGGAGACTCTCCCACCTCCATTTCTGCCGGCAGCCCGTGCGAGGGCTTTCAGTTTGGCCCTCCCTCAGGACCCGCTTGGCCGCCCAGGGCCATCCCGTGCCAGCCCCGCCGGCGAGGCTGTTGGAAACAGGCGGCAGGATTGAGGCCCTTCCGACCTTTGATCTGCTGGGGAATCTCATCAGAGAACAACCCGGGTGGGCGGCGTGGCTCGACAGAGCCGCCCACGGCCACAGGGAGGCAGGGGTCACCTCGCAGCCGCTCACGGTGCCCGCTCTGTGGGCAGACAAAACTGACCCTCCCGGCGCTGCTCAGCCCCACAACTGCGGACGTGTCTGCGCTCCTGGCTCCGATGGAGACTGCAACACGGCAATGGAATCACCCCACGGAAGGGAGTAAGTCAAAGTCCCCTGACCTCACCAGAAACAGCCAAACCAGCATGTCCACTCAGGACAAAGAGACGTCTCTTTTCACAGTGCAGGGAAGCGTTTCTCAGAAACCTTCCATGCCTCGTGAGCAAGCAGACCTTAGACTAAAGAAGGTCCACCCCGTGCCCCGGAATCTGAGAGACCTGGTGAGCCCAGCGAGACCCGGCGTCGCTTCGCGTGTCGAAAGGACACTGGCCGCAGGAAAGAAGATGTCGCTCCTGACCTGGGGTGAGTGCTGTGTGGTATTTTTCATGTCATTCAAGACCAAAATGTGCCATGAGGGCTCGGGAGGTGCGTCTTCCTGGGCTCAAGTCCGGGGGTGATGCGTCCTGATTTCACTTGACAGCATTCACCCCCGGGCTGTTTTGGGAAGGCAGAAATGGAGGTGGAAGCCAGAGAAACACGCATGTCGGTGTATTTGGAGGAAGTCAGCTCACTGGCCTTGCGCGCCGGGTGGGAGTGACCCGGAAACCTGGCCGCGCTACCGAAGCTGAAATGTAGCGACCATGCAGCGGTCCCCTCCAGGCCTACGCCCGCAGAAGTGGCCCGACCTCGCAGGGCAGGGACAGGGGCACCTCCCGAGCGGGCAGCTGCCTGAGTCACGGGACAGAGGGCCGAGCGGAGAGCAGCTGTGAAGGGCTCACGCTGTAGCTGAGCTCACCCAGTGCGTGGCCACGGGGCGCCGCGCCGCACGTGGGGTGGTGGCGCTGGGCAGGTGTGCGCCCTCGCTGGAGCCCACGGAGCTGTCCGGGTAGCTGTGGTTCCGTGTCTGTGTCAGTAGACAGTTCACGGTGAAAGATCAGCTCCTCCGGGTGTGCTTGGCCGGTTTAGGGCCCAGTCTTCCTGAAACAGGGTCACGAGCCGCTGTAGCGGGTTTCTTGGGACTGAAGAGGGTTTCTTTCTTGAGACACGCCGCGTGGGCCCGTCGGCCACTGTCGTTCTCTCACTGGGTCTGGCCACTGGGGCTGAGTGGCAGAAAGCAAGGTGTCCAGGGCAGTCTCGGCTGGGGCCTGGGCCGCCCACCCGGTGGGGGAACCTGCAGTCCTCAAGTGCATACCTCACGTCCTTGAGGGAGTGTTTTCAAACATCCGCTGTGTGCCACACACCCTGTGTAGGGGGCTTCACGCGCTCACCCGGGACGTCAGCATGAGTCACAAACCCCTGGGTGCAGAGAGGCCACGTGACCTGCCCAAGAGCGTTGTTGGCCTTAAGACACCAAGGCAGACTCGCGGTCGGGCCTGATGGCAGCTGTGGAGAGCATGTCTGTCCTCACTGGCTGCCCCGCTGGGAATGCAGTTGGGGAAAGTAGGTAAAATGGCGGGAGTTAAAGACGGCTTCATATGGCAAGGAGGTGGGACACCCCTCGCAGGCCAGCCCCGGGGTCTTTGCAGCTGCGCAGCTGTCTGCCCCAAGTGGCTCCTTCCCTGTCTCCTGCCCCGAGAGATGGTTCTGGAATTAGCTCGAAGTCCGGTGACTGGGGGGCCCCAGTGGCAAGAGGGCTACCTTCAGACTTGTAGGCAGGGCTGGAGCATTCAGGTGCAAATGTGCTTGTGGGGAAAAGCAGAAGTCAGCCCACGTGACAGCTCCCGCAGCGTCTCCTGAGATGTGAAATCCCACACGGGCCAGGGTCAGTCATTCCTCTTCTGAACGGAAAGAGGCGAGCTTTCTCACGTGCACCAGCTCTCCGGCCCAGGTCCAGCTCCCTGGCACGACAACAAGAGGCCACCATCTCTTGCCCGTGTATGATTCAGCAGTCGACATAAAGGAACACTATCTGTACCCAGTAAAGGAGAAATACAATCGTCTCCTGGCTCTCTAAGTAGGAAGGAAACTTAGAAGGCCCATTTTAGCCATTTCTTGAAAGCTGAATTGGAAGAAGGGACAAAGGCTGTGATCCAGTAACCCCACAGCGTGGAAAACATATAGGCTGCGCCCTCCCGTCTCAGGTGACGGTAATAGCTGCTCTCCATGCCCATCCACAAGGGAAGGCGCTGCGGGTTCAAGCTGCTGTGGTGGCAGGGCCCCGTGTTCAGGGGAGCCCCGACAATGTACAATTACCCCTCTGTGCTGGAGCCCAGCTTCAGAGAAAATGAAAAGGAGCCCCCAGACGGCTTCGAGGATCAGCCTGCAGGGGTGGAGTGGAGGCTGAGATGCAATACCAGGGGTAGCTCTCGCTAATGGCGACGCCGTGGCTGGGACCACTGACCTTGTGACACTTCGCTCACCCAACTCAAAGTACAGCCCGAAAGACGGTGGCCTGTGTAGCATGGGCAGCGGCTGCTGCTCCCCAATTCCTGGAGCTCCGTTTTGGAAAAGAGCTAGTAATAGGACAGTCAGACCCGTGGTAAGCGGGACCTGGCCAGCTCGAGTTCTGACTTTGAAAGAGCGGTGCTTTGCGTGGCAGGAGGGCTTGTCAGGCGCACGGGGCCCGCAGACTGCAGGGTGTGCAGGGCGCCGCTGGCTGCTTGACTTGCGAGCAGCCTCTTCTCCTCACCACCCTGGGGTGGGCTGACATCCCCGGCTAGAGACAGGGTCCTTTCTCCACCCTCTTGCGTTTGCCTGGAGCAAAATGAACGTCGGGAGACTTGAGGGACTTGGCCATCTTGCAGCTCCCTCCACCACTGCCCTCTGCCGCCTCTGGCTCCCGCTTCGGCCGGCAGAGCCGGGCGTCGGGATGGCTGGCTGGGACATGCTAGTACGCCTGAGCCGAAGGCGGCCCCAGCCTGGGCACTCGCGCCTCGCTCTTGGGGGGGGCAAGACACTGCCCACTCCGCGTGGCCCTGCTTGTCCAGTGCCGCGGCTGAGGGGCGGGAAGGAGGGTACGCGCTACAAACCAGCGTCGCGTGCACCCGGCAGACGTGGGGCCCGGACAGCAGGGCACAGCCTCGGGCTGGGGCGCGGTTGCACACCCACAGCGACGGGACACCGAAGCCTGCACCCGGGTGTGGCCCTTCCCAGAAGCCCGAGTCATGCGTGAGTGTCGCAGGTGGGTCAGGCAGCGGCCCAGAGCAGCGGCCGTGCAGAGTGCCTGGGCCCCGCTGCCCTCTGCGCAGGCCCTCCCACATGTGGCCTGTCCAGGTGGCCGCCGCCGCCCCTTTCCGTCTCTGAGGCGCTCCAGGGGAGCGAGGCCGCCCCCGCCAGACCCTGGATGCCGCTGGCACCCCGCAGCCCGCCGGCCCTGCTGTGTCAGCTCTCAGCCTTGGCTGATGGCCGGTGAGGGGCGCAGAAATGAGGGCTCCCCAGACTTGGTGCACGTCGGAGCTTACCGGTCACATTTGCCCGGCCTTGCCTCGACTGCATCACAGAGACACCAACAGAAAAGGCAGCAGTGGACCCACGGTGCCGGGCTTTCTGTCCCTAACGGAGCCTGGGCCAGGCCCCCCTCCCTTTTGACTCCCAGAACTGCGGCGCGCCCAGCCGCGTACCAGGCCACCACCGGGGCTCCCTGTGCCGCCCGTCACTTGACACCTTTCCGCTCAGCCCAGATGGGCTTTCCTCTCCCACTGACCAGAAAGAGGTCAGCTTTCAGGGGCCACGCCCGGCCGACTCTAAAGCCCGGGTCCTCACTCGCTGACGGCCAGAGGCCCAGCGCCCTTGCTCCTCAGCCCAGCCCAGCCGCCCAGGGAGAGGCTGGCCCAGGGGAAGCTGGGTCACCGCCCTTGGTCCTCCTGCTGGTCCTGCCGTCCTAGTCCCGCCCGGCGTCCACCGGGCTGAGGTGTCGAGGGCCCTTGCCGACTGGCTGAAGCGGACAGGCGCACCGCGTGCACTGGCTGTGCGGCGGCGGCAGGGCCCGGCTCTCCTCCAGCCAGCAAACCGGGTCGTGGGCCCCGTCCGCCGGCACCGCCAGAGCTCGCAGTGGCGCCGTGAGCAGCAGCGGAGCTGTGCGGCTGCTTCCCGGGGCCAGTCTCCGGCTCCGGGCAGGGCCGGCCTGTCGAGAAGCCGCTCCAGCGGGGCCGGGGCCCCGGCAGCGTGTCGTGACCACCGTCCAGGTGAATGCAACTCACGTGCACTTTATCAGCACAAAAACATCCACAAAAATCAGAACACACAGAAATGACATGGCCAGAACAAGTTAACCTCTCCGCAGGAGGCATTATTCTGACTTGTCACGCTGGAAAACAGACTCACATGGAAGGATCTCTTAAGGGACAGTAATTTCCACCACCACAAATTCAGACTTTTGGACAAGAATATACTTTATTTCTCATAAAAGTCTACCAAAAATATATTTTTTGCTTAACTTAAAAAACAGCTTTGGGAAACAAAGTTTGATGGTTATGATTCACGTGTTTCAAACAGCTGTGGAAGTGACAGGAGTCGCAGGATGGATTCAGGTTTTAAATATAAAAACGTTCATTTCAGAAGCTTGACCTTCTCCTTTAATAGCTTGAAGGTGGGGTTCTTGCTGATTTTCTTGTTAAAGATGACCTGGAGTTCCTCCTCAGACCTGTGATGTTCACTCGTCACAGAGTAATACTGAGCAAAAACCTTCACAGAGAAAAACCACTGTCAGACGCATGCATGCGTCCCGAAAGGGCACCCGGAAGGTTTTTCTCTACCCCAGGAGGCCAGCAGTGACCCCGAAGGGGGCAGAGGCAGGGTGTGGGGTGTGTCTGCCTCTGGCAGCTGGGCGCACAGGCCCACCGACCAGGAGTTAAAACGCAAAGATGACTGCTGCTCTGGAATAATCAAAGGCAAGCCACCTAGGACGGTCACTTTCTGGTTTAACGTGGGCGGGCGCCACCGTGACAGAAAGCGGGGGCCGGGGCCTCCGCGAGCCGCAGGGCCACTGGCGCGCGGCGGTCAGAGCTGTGTGTCTGTAAGCGCTCAGATGAAAAACAGCAGCGGCGCTTTACAACAAAGGACACCCGTTTATGTACGTGGCCCATGCCTCTACCTTTTTCCTTAGCTTCTTGATTGCGATTTCGTTGTCGGGGGCCTGTCTCAGCACTGCTTTAATAGTTCCCTTCCAGTTGAATTTACCTGCAACAGAAGAACGACATGTGAGACCCTGTACCTGCACTACCAGAGGGTCAAGAGTGACTGCCGCAGCATCTGTCTGCCCCCGAGGGAGCTACCCTAAGTGAAGGCCCTCGCAAAGGCGCGGGGCGGGCACCCGGTGTGGCCCGAGACACTGCCCCTCGCAGGAAGGGCCGTCGCTGCTAACGCCTGCGAGGCCGGTGAACTCATGAGTCACTGAACAGCCACTGAGATGGAAGACAAGGACGAGAAAAAGCAGCTCGGCCTTGAAGGAAGAGGACAGCCGCGAACACTCACTGCCTGTGGCCAGAAGGGCCACCGGGGACCGACCTCTGGGAGACCACAACGATTTAAATGCTGAGTATGTAATGCCAATGAAAGACATCAGAGAAGATTCAAATAAACAAAAGGCACCCGGTGTTCACGAGTTGGGAGATTTAACCTAGGAAAGACACAAATTTTCCCCAAATGGACACACAAATCTAACACAATCCTTAGCTTTCTAGATGTAGACAATTATAAATTACTCGATTTCTACGGGAGCTAAAGAAATCAAAGATGAGTGATACAGGATGGACAGAGACACAAATCAACAAAACAGAACAAGAACCCGGAAGAGACCGCAGCAAACACACCACAGGGCCTTTAGACAGGTGACGGGCAGGTGAGCGGGACAGACGGCCCTTTCCACAAATGCGCTCTACAGTCGGACAGAGGACTCTTGAATTCAGGCTCACGCCTTAATAAAACTTGGCTCAAAATGGACCTTGGACTGAGTGCAAAACGCAAAACCACAGAACTGTGCTTTCTAGGACCATGTCTGTGGGATCTTCGGCAGGACAGAGTTCTCACACCTGACACCTGGCTAATCTAGGTTGAATCTCCCAACCCATGAGCACAGGGTGCCTTTCATTTATTTAAATCGTCTTCAATTTCTTTCACCAGCATTACATATTCAGCATATAAGTCATAATCTTCCCCAGAGCAGAAGTTCCCTAGATGATTTTTCTAGTCCATGGGGTAGTAAACCAAATTTTAAAAACTTTTGCCCTATAAATGATTTTGTTCAGATGATGAAAAGACAAACTAGAAACCAAAAAACAAACCAACCAAAAAACCTAATACCTTATTCACCTCCTATCCCACAAAGGCGTAGTCTCCAGAATATATAAAGAACCCTCAAATCTCAACAGCTGAAAACAAAACCAGAAAAGGGCAGACCAATCAGAAAACGGCACTGGACAGGGCAAGGCGCTCCACGAAGAGCTACTCAACGGCACGTAAGTGAATGGGAAGACCGTCCCCGTATTTGGAGATTCTAGGTTAGAGCCACGCTGAGCCAGCATTACAGACCTGGCAGAACGGCGAAGATAACAGTGACCCACTAGGCGCTGGCCGGGGTGTGGGGAGCCTGAGTTGATCACTCGGGTACGGCTGCTGGGGACAGAAAGCGGCCCAGCCCCCCTAAAGCTGGCAGGAAGCAAAACCAGGAACTGCCATGCTGCGTGGCTGGTGAACGCGCCCCACACGCACCCCAGGAAGCAGGGATGTGTGCACAAAAGCCAGTTCAGCCTTACAATGTCCAGGGGCTGGACTATGGGAGCCCTTCAGTGGACGAGGCCAAGCAAACCGGGGCTCTCACACAGCCTGGAACACTGCCTAGCAATAAAAGGTGGGGTTCATCTGGATGGCTCTCCAGAGAATGATGCCGAGTCCCTTTCAGAGGGTCACATACTCGGGATGCCATTTGGGGAAGGTTCCAGAAGTACAAGATCACAGAAGTGGAAAACAGCTTAGAGACGGCCACTGCAGAGGGGCTGAGGGGGGTGTGTCTACAGAGGGGAGACAGGAAGGGGCCTTGGGGGATGGCGGTGCCTGTCTCTGGCCACACTGCCATGATCATCCACACGAAGGGGGACGTGACCTGCATTGTCACCCTGGGAGACACTGGGCACCGGACAGCGGGATTCGAGTCTGCACTGCTCCCTACACCTGCTGGCGAAACTCCAAGGGCCTGACACCAAGCCGGTGATGCAGTAGGAGCCCCCATATACAAAGGTGGGGTGCACTGCCTGGCTGGGACTAACCGGGTCAGTTACTAGACGCCGTTAATAAAGCCTCAGCTTCCACTTGAGTCCGCAGTCTGTTGTGGAGGTGAAGGGGGGAGGAAGGCGGAGGGCGGGGCTGTGCATCACTGGGCCGGGGCCGGGGCCGGGGTCAGGGTCAGCGTGGGCGGCTGTGGCGACGTCCGGGAGTGGGTGACAGGCCCAACCCTTGGAAAGCCCCACGGGCTTGATTCTTACTTGCAAAAACACTGTCTCCCTGATCCCTGATGCTTAGGGCTCCACAGACGTGGAAGGCTGGCTCACACCAGTCTCCTGCATTCCCTCGGGGTCACAGTCAAGAAAGCAGATTGATTGTGAAATCTGCCACGTGCTCTGGAGGCCCCGTCCACCCCTCCCGCGCCTAAAGACGCCAGAGCAGCAGTGATACCTTTTGCAGGAGCCTCGTGGTTTCCTGGTTGTCCATCCTCAGAAGGTCCCGGGATCTTTATCTTTTTCTTAGAGTCTGCTTCAACTAAGTAATTAGAAAAAATTCAGAAAAGCCCCCCACTGGGCCAGCGGTGGGCGTTCAGTAAGAGCCGCCCTCCCCGCCCCCCCGCCCCAGCCGGGCCAGCCTGCCCGCTGCGGCTGCTCGCTGCCCCCTGCGCAGGGCTGTTTCCTGCCCGCCAGGGCCTCGGCCGCTGGGCACGAGGCCACCGTACCTTCCGAGTGCGCGCGCTTCCTCTTCCCCGGCTGGCTCTTGGCCGGGCACGCCTCGGCCTCGGCCTCTGCCGCAAGCGCCCCGTTGCCGGCGGGCGCCCCATCCTCCACCTGCTGGCCCTTGCCCTTCTTCCTCTGGCTCTTCTTCCCCGCGGGACCGGCGGCCGCTGGGGTGTCCTCACCCCCGGCCTCTTGCCCCATCTTGCGCTTCTTAGGCTTCTGACGCTTTGCATTCTCTTGGTTGTTTTCCAATTTTAGCTCCTTCTTTTCCTTTTTCCGATTCTTCTGCCGTTCTTCTTTCCGCTCCCTCTTATTCTTCGCCACCTCTGCTGGCTTTTCCGGGGCCCTGGCAGCGCTGTCCGCGCAGGAGCTGGCCACCTGGCCGGGTGGTGGGTGCTCCTGCCCCTTGTTACTGGCCGTTCCCTGTTTAAGCAAAACCAAGAAACACGTCAACACTCGCCGAGCCGGGCACAGCCCGTGTCGTGTGGAGCCGCCCGAGAAGGCTCACGGCTCACCACCGCGTAACAGCCAGGAGCCAAGATGTGCCAGTAAATACTCAAAGGGGGAGACACGGCCGCGCCCACACCCACCCCGCACCCAACAGTCAGCTCCGCTGGAAGAGGCCCTGCTGTGCCGAAGACCGGCTGCATTCTGACCCGTGGCTGGCCCCGTCCCGCCGGTCAGCTTCGGCAGACTTGCGAAGTTACCCATCTGCTCTGAGCCTGTTCCTCGCCCAGGACGGAAGTAGTGACCCCTCCCGCCTCAGAGGACGTGCACGTGAGCTGGCACCGTGTGCCGACATACAGCGCTCCTGGGCGCGGGGGGCTCCTGGAGGGCTAACACCGCGAGACAGGCCATCACCTGCCCGGGCAGGGTGCCCAGCGCAGCCGTGCGGGCAGCTGCACCCCGACACTGGCTCTGCCGCGCTCCCTGGACAAGCCCCTTCTCAAGGGACGGCGAGGGCAGTTTATGGGACTGCTCTGGGAGCCCAGGGCGGCGGCCACGCCCACCGTTGGTTAGCAGGCAGGTAGCTAGACGAGTCGCCCCTTGACCTCCTCCAGGCCACAGGTCCCTGGAGGCTGTTGCGGCCCCCTGGCCGGACCTACTCGGTGCCACACCTCACTAGCCTCGGCGTCCACCCCGGCTGTAGAAGCTGCATCTAGGAGGTGCATGCTGAATGATGTTTCCACAACAGCCAAGAAAGCGACTACCCCAGGCACGGGGGCGACCAGAGGATGACTTCAGGCTCAGGAGGAGGCTGGGAGCGGAAGGCACTGCGCTAACCTGGTGCCATGGACTGCCCCCCGGGCAGCTCAGGCCACCTCCCTGGCTGGTGCCTGCCGTCACATCCCACCACCTCAAGGCGGGGCCCGGGCAGAGGGAGGAGCCATGCATTCCCTGGCCTGGCAGCCACTCTCAGATGGGTGAGTTCACCCCCATCTTCTCTCTGCCTCATTCAGGACCCCTCCTGTGCCAGCAGACGCCACCCCATACTGTGCCTCCTCCCGCCGGTGCACTGCCAGTGCTTAGCACCCCCGGTGTGAGGGCACGAACCCTTCACCGCATCCCCCCGCTGGGCACAGCTGTGCACACTGGGCCCTGGCTGGTGATGGCCGCTGCAGTGACCAGCTGGGCTTTGTGCTGGGGACAGCGCACGAAGGTGGCAGCGGGAGCCCCTCAGGCCCAAACCCGCGCAGTGAGGGGACGAGCATTGGGAACGGGGGGCGCAGGTGAAGCAGGAAGGGTGCAGGGTCCCCTTGGGTTCTGCTACCCCCAGGCTGCTGCGTGCCTGGGTCCTGCTACTCGCTGGGGCAGACAGTCCTGCAGGGCACTGCTGGCCCCTAGGAGTGCTCGTGGCTGCCTCAGCCCCTCCCAAACAAAGAATGCTAACGCCGTGACGCACGGGAACAAGGTTCCTCGGCAACCTGCATAAAGCCTGTCGTTCGGGGCTCAGCCTTGTGGGCCTGACCCACCGAGCCCGCCAGCCTGGCAAGTGAACCTCTCTCTCAACACCTCTCAGACGCCGTCGGATTTCTCTGGGAAACTGCAGTAACACAGGGAAGGCCCCGGCCAGCCAATCAGTGACAGCCCCATTTTGGGGCTCAGTGTTGACCACAAGTTGTGAACTGGTGGTTTCATTTCACTCTTGATGGATTCATCAATTGCAAGTGAAATTGGGAAAAACTTAAAAACAACAACAACAAAACCTGCAGCTGAATGAATAACTTCAACCCTTTCTTAGTTAAAATAATGGAAAAAATGAATGAATTGTTCTCATGGTTGTAAAGGCCCAATCTGCACTTTCTGGTCAAACGGCCGGACAGCCCGCCACGCCGAAGCTCGGCCTGTGGCTTGGCACCGCGCACGCTGTGCTCTCACCGCGCGAGTCGCGGGTCAGGGAAGCAGCGTGGAAGCTGCTGGGGGTCTCCGTGGGGTGGGCACTGAAGCAACGGTGAAGCCACAGCTGTGGCCCGCTCTCAGGCCCAGGCTCTCCGCAGGCAGCTGCACCTGCGTGCCCTCGGGATGAAGCCACGCCAGCGATGGCTGTCTGGGGTGAGGGGGAGCTGCCCGGCGGGAGCCCCTTCACCAGGAGACAGCCCTGGGAGTGCCCACTCACCCTGGCATGACGCGGCTCTGCCGCCGGCCGCGCCCGACCCTGCTCAAGAGACCCCGGGACACGTGTCGTCGTCTATCTCCCTTCGTGGCCCTGCAGGCCTCAGACGCCCGTCCTGCCTACTCAGGCCTGGCCCCGGTCAGCTCACTAACGTGACAGACACTTTATTTTAAGATAAGGAAACCGAGGCTCAGAGAGTTAAATAACACGTCCCAGATCGCACGCCTGGCAGCCAGACGAAGGGGTCACAGCAGTGTGCCCGACGCCCGGGGCGCCCGTCCTCGCTGAGGCGCCCGCTGCGGGCTCCGGCCGCATCCTGTTGGCTGTCGCAGCCGAACACTGGATCGAGGACCTGTCCCTGCACAGTAAGGGAGTCCCCGCTGCCGTGCGTTCAGCTCCTCCCTCCCATGAGTGAAGCACAGAGAGGAAAGAAAGAAACGCTGTCTTGACCTTCAGAGCCAAGACGCTCCGCTTCATTCTCACCCGCCATTTCTGACATGCTCAAGGCCAAAATGAGTCTCACTTACGTTGCTGGACGCTTCGGAAAAGATACTCCACACCTGCTCCAGGACAGATTCATTATGCACTTTGAGACTGTTCTTCATCCAGTTCTGTGAGGACAGAGGGGAGGAAAGCTCACTCCACGCAGACACACGCAGCCCTGCGCGGAGCCGGGTTCCCGCCAGGCCGCACACGTACCTGAAATTTGGCCTTTTTCCTGGGAACGTTGTCGAAACCACTAATTTGCTCTAAAAGGTCCCTCACTTTGGGGCTGACATTGGGTCTTTTTGTTAATTCGTTGATTTTCTATATATATATGAAACAAAAAAGAGACAATAAGTAGCTCGCACCGAGTGGCACACGAGCGCCGGCCCAGAGGGCGCTCTGGCTGCCGCCCCCACACCGGGCCTGTGCCAGCGCCCACACGCAGCCCAGCGCTGGGCAGCCCGGCCAGCGAACTGAGCAGGGAAAAGAAAGAAAGGCATCCAGGCTGGAGAGAGAGAGTAAAATGCGCTCAGGGCAGAGGTAACAGCTTCAGTGGCGCCCTCGGGAGCCGACGGAAGGAGCCTCTGGGCTGTGAGCGAGACGGCGGAGGCCCAGGCTGCAGCTCGATACACAGAAGCTGCATTTCACAGTGAACAACCTGACGGGGCAATCAAGACGGCAACTCCATTTAAAAATAGCCTCAAAGGGCCCTCTCTGGTGGCGCAGCGGGTTAAAGCGCAGCACTGAGAAGCTTAAGCCACTTCCTCATGAGTTCGA